GTGTGTGTGTGTGTGTGTGTGTGTGTGTGTGTGTGTGTGTGTGGTATTCAAGATGATCTCTCACTCTTAAAATGTAAAGCAACATCTGAAAAACATCCCAAAAGGAAAGAAAGGTGGTAGACTCAGGATGCAGATTGAGCTATATATATTTTTTGAACATAGACAATTCAGGGATTTGTTTTGCTCCATTGTGCATATTTGTTACAAGCATTTTGTTTTTCCTTTTTCAAATTATTTTTTTCCCAATTTGGTAAGGGAAGAGAAAGGTAAAGAATAAGATTTTTTTAACTGAAAAAAAAAAATTTTTTTTTAAATGCAAACAGGCTTTCCAGAAAGAAAAAAAAGTTAAGGTCACACTGAAGTTTAACTCGTGAAAGCAAAAGGGTAGGAAAGCAAGGACCAGGAAGTCTATGCTAAGAATTGAAAAATTCTAAAATAACCTAACATGTCTGGTGCTATTACTACTAGCAAGGTACTTCAATAAAAAAATCCAAAAGCCATTACCTCATCCCCAATCATACTCCATAGCTGTATGAGAGGCAGGCCAGTAGAATTGTAATTGGTAACCTGGAGAGAGAGAAACATAGGGTTAAGACAGCCACTACTCACTGTAATCTTTAAAGACTACCAGTCCAACCCAGTGCGATGAACAAATAAGGGCAAGTCTCCTCCCCAAACAGGGACGTTAATCAGTAGGATCCTCTCTAATGGGATGCCCAGGGGAGCTCTGTTTGCCCTGTGCAGCTTAACATTTCTATCAGTAAGTTGGACAAAGACACTGATGAGCTTGTCAAATCTGCATATGGACACAAAATTGGGAAGATAAACTCACACACAGTCAGAATTGAAAAAAGATCTTGACTGGATAGTTTGCTGGGTCAAATCCAGTAAGATGAGAAGAAATAAAAGAATCTTCCTCCTCTATTTAGGTTTAAAAGAAAAATCACACAAGTACAAGATGGTGGAGGCTTGTCAGATAGCATTTAGTCTGGGGTACATGGTGGATTGTGAGATCATTCAGGAATCAACAGTATAAGGCAGTTAAAAAGCTAATTTTGCTGCATTATTTGCTGCTTAATAGGCTACACTGAAACATAATATTCAGGGCTAGGGAACTGATAATTCCCTTAAATTCTGCCCTAGATAGATATCTGTAATAAATTATCTAATTTTGGACACCACATTTGAAGAAGAAACTGACAATCTTGAGAACATCTGAACAGTAGCCAAGATGGTGAGGGGTCTCAAAATCATGCCATATGAGAATCAGTTGGAAGAACTGAGGAAGATCCACCTAAATAAAAGGCTTGGAGGGGAAGAAGGGAAATGGAAGGAAAGAAAACTGAATAGCTGTCTTCAAAACATTTGAAGTGCTGACACATGGAGAGCAGCTTAGATTGCTCTGCTTGGCTACAGAGGGGCAATCTAGAAATAACGGGTGGCAGTTAAGCTGGCAGACCTAATCTAAGGAGAAACTTCCTAACAATTAGAGGAATCTCAAAATGAAATGGGAAGCCTCTGGAGGTAGCAGGATTCTCTTCACTGAAAATCTTCAAGTCAAGGTGACTGACCATTTAATGGGAATGTTACAAAGGGGAATCCTGTTTATATATGCATGGGACTAGATGGTCACCAAATTCCCTCCCAACTAAGAATCTGTTATTCATACCTGAGCAAGCAGTGGTGTACCTCTGGTCATTTCATTTACAGCTGCATCAGCTTCTGGTGAAAAATGATCCTCATCTTTGGAAAGAGTAAAGAGGGCCAGGGCAGAGGGGGAGAGGAGACAGAGAGAGAATCCCAGATTAAAATCTCACTTGGAGAAAACAAAGATACTGATGTTCTGTCCCCTGTGCTAGGTTCTTGGCCAGAGAATCCTAGTGTTATGTGAAGGAAAATGCTATTGCTCCTTAAAGAGGATTCTTTATGAAAAGCAATACAAAATCAACCCTTTTTGACCCTCTATCACAAACCCTACAGAATCTATTTCTCAACTGTTTCTTCTTCTTGTCCAATCCCCAGGGCACTGGGACAACTTCAACCTCTACTTTATACAGTTCCAAAATATCTGACTACCACCTTCAACCTGCCACTTGACAAAACAACAGTCACCACTCATCTCTTTGTGCCCTTCTGTGTCAGACAAGGCCACCCAAGTTTAATCTTCAAGCCCTTGTTCTCACTGGTCTTTTCTATTAGCTATAAATATGCCCACGTTTCATTAGTCCTTTAGAAAAAAATAAAAACAAAAAAAACCCTACCTCCAATTCCTCTAATCATCCCAATTCTTCTCCCCCTCCCTTTAAATACCCAAATTTCTTTTTTTAACTCTTTTTTTATTAATGTATTTTGATTTATCAATAATCACTTCCATATGCTTTTGAGTTTAAAATTTTTCTCCCCCTTCCTCCCCACCACCCTCCCCAAGACAGCCCACAATCTGATATAGGCTATACATTTACATTCCTTTTAAACATATTTTCACATTAGTGATGTTGTAAGTAGAAATTAAAACCAACAGGAGGAACCACCAGAAAGAGGAAACAAAACTCAACAAAATAACAATTCGGCTTCCATAGTTCTTTCTTTGGGTATGGATAGCATTTTCCATCACAAGGCCTCTGGAGATGTCTTAGATCCTTGTATTGCCAGGAAGGGTTAAGTTTATCAATATTAGTCATCATACAACGTGGCTGTTATTGTGTACAATGTTCTCTTGGTTCTGCTCACTTCACTCAGCATCAGACCAGACAAGTCTTTCTAGGTTTTTCTAAAGTCAGTCTGCTCATCATTTCTTATAGCACAATAGCATTCCATCACATTCACATACCACAACTTGCTCAGCCATTCCCCAATTGATGGGCATCATCTCAACTTCCAATTCTTTGCCACCACAAAAAGAGCTGCTATGAATATTTTTGTATAAATACCCAAATTTCTTAAAAGAGTTGGCTACACTTAATGTCTGTACACCATCTCACCACCAGCTAATATCTCAGTCTCTTGGAATCTGACATCAGTTCCCACTTGACTGAAATTACTCCACTGGAGACTACCAATGACTCCACATCAAATCCAATGTTGTTGTTGTTCAGTCATTTTCAGTCGTATCCAACTCTTCATGATCCCATTTGGGGTTTTCCTGGTAAAGATACTGGAATGGCTTGTCATTTCCTTCTTCAGCTCATTTTATAAATGAAGAAACTGAGGCTAACTTAACTGAGGTTAAGTGACTTGCCCAGGATCACACATCTAGTAAGTATCTAAGGCCACATTTGAACTAAGATCTTCCTGACTCCAGGCCTGGCATTCTATCCACTCTGCCCCTGGGCTGCCCCAACTCAAAGCCATCAATGACTTTACATCAAATCCAGTACCTTTCTCCTAATCTTTTTACTTTTCGGTTGTTGATTTTTGTTGTTTTTGTTTTGTTTTGTTTTGTCTTGTTTTTGGTGAGGCAATTGGGGTGACTTGCCCCGAATCACACAGCTAGTGAGTGTTGTGTCTGAGGCTGAATTTGAACTCAGATCCTCCTGACTCCAGGCCCAGTGCTCTATACACTTCGCCACCTAGCTGCCTCAATCTTTTCACTTTTCTTAAGTACCTTTCCGACCTTCTTCTCTTTCCCATTTTCTATTCAGCTAAATGTGAGTACACCCAGAACAGGTCTTACCTTTCCTAATTCCATTTGTAAACTATTCTAATATTAGAATCTATCCCCCTCCCCCACCTCCACCTCTTCAGTGAAATCTTATCTTTCAAAGACCTATCCCTGGTAAGGATCTGCCCATTTAGCCTTCCCTAAACCCCTTAGCTAAAAGTGGTCTCTCCCTGCTATGAATTCTTAGAACTTTCTAATTTATCCCGTGCTACACTTGTTTGTGTCTTCCTTTCCTCCTATAAGAAGGTAAACTCCCAAAGGAGACCTACAAAGAAGGGTAGATCAAATTGGTAAATTTAGTCACTTGGAATGGTAAAGCAACTAGATGGTTCAGGGGATAAAGCACTGGACCTGGAGGATCCACATCCAAACTTGGCCCCAGACAATTATAAGTTGTGTGACCCTGGGCAAATCATTTCCAGGAGTGAGGAACCTGCGGGCCTTGAGGCCACATACAGCCTTCTAGGTCCTTGGGTGTGGCCTTTTGACTGAGTCCAAGTTTTACAGAACAAATCCTTTTACTAAGGGGATTTGTTCTGTGAAGTTTAGATTTAAAGGACCACACTTGAGGGCCTAGAAGGCCACATGTGGCCTGGAGGCTGCAGGTTTCCCACCCCTTATTTGTCAGCCTCAGTTTCCTCATAGGAAAAATGGGGATAATAATAGTACCTACATCCCCTAGAGTTGTTGTGAGGATAAAATGAGATATTTGTAAACCTCAGAATGTTATTTTAAATGCTTGTTATTATAATTGTTCATTATTTTGTTGTTGTTACTAAGAAAAGCTCTATATAGGAATTGAAGATTCTTAGTCAATAGTAAAATAACAATAGCTGACATTTATCAGTACTTTAAGTTTATAAAAGCATTTTTACCTCCATTATCTTATTTGACTCTCACAACTCTATAGTAATCCAGGTAATTCATACTGTAGAGATGGGAAAACTAAGTATCAGAAGAGACTGATTTGCCCAGGATCATTCATCAAGTATGAACAGGTGGGATCTGAACTCAGGTCTTCCTGACTTCAAGTCCAGTAGCCCTCTCTGCATCTGATACAGATGAATACCAACAGAAATGCTCAGAGGTGGTCGGTCAAATCTGGGCTATGCTAGGAGGCCAGCTACATCTCACATTAGGGGGAGTCTAAAGTCAGAAACATGGTAAGAATGAAGGGGAGAACTATACCTGGGATGAATAAAACTGTTTTCAACTCTTCCAAGAGAGAGAGTCTTTTACACCTGAGACTTGGAAGAAAAAAATAAAGGAAATCAGTCAAACTATTACCTGACAGAGGCGTCACATTATCCAATAAGACTTCTGCTCCTTGGAATGGCAGTGTGACAAAATCAGATCTGGAGAAAGGAGACAAAAACCTGTTGTGAGAAACTGAAAGGGTTGGCTTTTAAAACATGCTGCTCTGTGCCTTTTGCTGTACCACTAGATTTTTCTACCGCCAGGTCCTGGCAAGGTGGACTGACCCAGCTCTCAGCAAGTAAACAGGGCACTTGCCTGGGCCAATTCCCCGTCCCTGATTTAGGGGAGCAAGGTCTATGGCAATAAATCCACAGTCTGACAAACCAGGGCTTGTGTGAGTAACTAAAATGGGAAAATCCCATTTACTTCCCTTCCTATCATGACCCTTCTTCCCTCCATAGGATGTCTGCTGCAGAATTCTTTCTGCAAGAAGAAATCCAGTGGACAGCATTCCCTTAGGATGGGAGTCACTTCAAATGAATAAGCATTTATTAAATATCTATGAAATGCAAAGCTATCATAATGTATTATATGTCAGGTACACAAAGACAAAGATAAAAAATAAAGTATGTCCTGCCTTCATGGAGCTTCCTTTTTATTAGAAAGGAGAAACACATGTAAACAGATAATTAAATCCAAGATAATCTGAGGGGGTAGAAAACACTTAAATATGATCCAAGTGACTTTTTAAATTTTTGTAAGTCAACTATGGATTATCCATGAGAGGCAGCATGACTGCCTTTAGTCAAAAGACCTGGTTCCAGTCTTGCCTCTGAGACATACTGTGTGAGACCATGGAGGTATCATCTCACCTCTTGCCCCAAGCCACAATTAAGACAAGTTACAGACCAGTAGAAGGAGCTTCTATAACAAGCATTCCCTAAATTAATAAAATCACAGATTTGAACTCTCCCTCCCCAAACCCCTCCAATTAATATACTAATGATAATGGATAGGAGAGCCTGCTAAAAAGCAGAATATACAAGAATTCAAAATAGTGTGTTTGACTTTATAGCTAGGTCCCAATTAGTGAGAATAATGAATCTCCTGAAGTGGTCACATTATTTGAATTCACACTGCATATTTGCATTGGGCTAAAACCAATGACCATATTTTATATAATTCTAATTTTAAATAGTACAAATTCTATTTCAGGGGGATTCATTTTTACACTGATTAGGACCTGGTTATATTCACAATGTTTATGAGAGCAAGAGGGAGAAGGGAAAAAAAAACAGGGGTTATTACTTTAGCATATAGCCCAAGATAAGCAAAATTAGCACCACAGTAAAGTGTTCTTACTTAGGCATAGCTTGTGCTTATACTATGTGTATATGTATGTATATACATACATACATACATATATGTGTGTGTATATATATATATATACATACATACACACACACACAGATGTACATATACCAGTGTGTATACAAATGCATATACGCCTGTGTATATAAGTATGTGTTTAATTCAGTCGTTTTTCAGTCAGTCTGATTTTTTGTGACCCCTATCTCTTGGGTTTTCTTGGCAAAGATATTGGAGTGGTTTGCCGTTTCCTTCTCCAGCTCATTTTACAGATAAGGAAACTGAAGTAGACAGGGTTAAATGATTTGCTCAGGGTCACACAGCTAGTAAGTGTTTGAGGCTAGATTGGAACTCAGGAAGATGAGTCTTCCTGACTCCAGGACTGGTGCTCTATCCACTGTGCCACCTAGCTGCCTCATATAGTATGTATACATGTATGTATTTATGTATATATAGGTATATACATACATATACACCCCCCCATACACATACTTATGTACACACACACACACACACACACACACACAATCTCTTAAAAGCATATGATCCCTTTTATAAGGAAGAAAACAGAAAGAAAATAGGGAGTATGGCAGAAATATATCCTTTCTTCTTCTTTTTTGAAGCAATTGAGGTTAAGTGACTTTCCCAGGGTCACATAACTAGTATCTTAGGTCAAATTTGAACTCAGATCTTCCTGACTTCAGGGCCAGTGCTCTATCCACATTGCCACCTAGGTGCCCTAAGGCAAAAGAAATAAACTTCATGACAAGGATTAACTGAAAAATTTTATAAAGCACTGTAATTTAAAGCAGTTAAACAAATGATCTGCACTTAAAATCACAACTCCTCTTGGACTAAATTAATCTCCTTTAATCTATGTTAATCTAAGTAATACTACACACTAATCAAATTAAACATTAATGATTTTTTTTAAAAGTTAAGTTATTTAGAATCAGCTAGGCAAGGGATGCTAAGGGAGATTATTAGCCTGGGATTCAAAGTTTATAATTGAACAAAACTTCTGTGGCTCTGCCAGAAACAGATCTTGGCTCAGATCCTGGTCAGAAGCAGCTCGAGGCGATGCAACCTGACCTGATTTGTCGAAGAATTTCAGTTTTCACTCTTTTGTATCCACCGTAGTCCACATAACGGATCTCAACTTCATCACTCTCTTTGTAGTAGGCAACAACTTGGGCACGCCACCAGGCCCCATCCACCCCAGGGGCAGCACAGATTACAGCTACTGTAGAGCAAGAAGTAGACTAAGTAAGGGGGAAGTGATCAATAGGTCAAAGGACAGGAACAGGGCAGTCTTCAAAGGGACAAGTCCAAGATATCAACAATCTTAAATGTAAATCAAATCAAAAGAAGGTCTACCTCACACCCAATCAAACTGGCAGAAATGACAGGAGAAGAAAATGACAAAATGTCTTGAGTGGCTTCTGGAAAATATGCACACTAATTAATGCACTGTTGGTGGAGCTGTGAATTGGTCTGGTCATTCTGGAAAGCAATTTGGGACTATGCCCAGAAAGTTACCAAACTGTGCATACCCTTTGACCCAGTTACACCACTGTTAGGTTTATATCCTAAAGAGATCAAAAGAAGAGGAAAAGGATCCATATGTACAAAAATATTTATAGCAATTCTTTTCTTAGTGTCAAAAACCTGGAAACTAAATGGGTGGTCATCTATTGTGGATAAATTATGGTATATGAATGTAATAGTATTATTATCTCAAAAGTAATGATGAAAGGGATGTTTTCAGAGGAAACCAGGAAAACCTATATAAAATGACAAAGATTGAGAACAATTATACAACAGCAATAACATTTAAAGGGGAAAACCACTTTGAAAGACTTTATAACTAATTAATGAAATCACAATTCCCAGGATCAAACATAAATTTGCCTTTGCCTCCCTCCCTTCCCTGCCAGAGAGGTGATGGACATTAAATGCAGAATAAGACACACATTTTAGGACTTTCCATTCCAAATGGAAATTTGTTTTTCTGGACTGTGAATTTATCACGAGTGTTTTCTCTTAGTTGTTCAATGGGGAGAGAGGAAGTGGGAGGAAGAGAAAATATACACTTGTTAACTGGAAAAACAAGATATAAGTTAAAAAAAAAAAACGAAAAGAATGAATGTAGGTACACACTGTTGAACTCAGTAGGAGGGGACTGAACTAAGGGGACAGCACTAAACAGTCTGTCCATACCTGATTAGCTTCACTAGTGAAACAGAAAGGTGGTTGTTTCATCATGTGAAAACAGCTTGTAGTGGGCTGATATTCACCTCCTGCTATACTCTCCCCTTCTACCCAGAGGGTGAGTATCAATAGCTACCAATATCCCCTTTAATCCTACTTGTCAGGTATTCAGTACTGGGTGACAGCTAGTATATTCTCTTTCCTCTGGGCTATCCAACAAAAAAAGTCAAATATTCCTAAGGAAAAAAGTCAAGCTGATATGGCCGCTTAGGACAGGACACTGGAAGATTAATACAGTATCTTCAGGTCTCTTCACACTCTTCTATTTAAAAACACCTTTTCTCTTCTTCAAATACTTGCCCAGACCGAGTAAAGGACAAACACTACCAGCTACGTATCTCATAGAAGGGTCTCAAGGTAGCATTTCAAATGAAACACTTAGACTAGAAAGTAGGCTTCCTGAACCTCACACTCCATTGTGTGAAGGGCCAATCTCATTTATTATCAAATGCAGATATTTACATAGTACTGTTTCAAGGTTCACAAAGGCTACATACATGTTTTTTGCATCATTTAACCCTTGTAACCACCCTCTGAGGGAGCTAACACAAGGATTCTCTGCAACCCATTTTGCAGCTCAAGAAGTAGAAGCTCAGAAATGTCAGAGGTGAGTGTCTAACCTAGCAGTCCTGACTGGAATTCCAAACCTGGTACTCTGCTAGATCACAGTACCTCCCAACATATCCTGGACTGCCCACTCATCTCAAGGGCACCTGCCATCTGCAAGGCAAAGGGACCCTCCTCCCCTAGGAAGAACTCGGCCACTTACCAAGCCCTTAGCTACCACAGCCTGCTGCCCCCTAAGCCTATACCATCCAGTTTGGAGAAGACTTCACTGAGAAGGTCTGAACAATTACCTGGCCCTCATCTCATCCAAAAGCTGAGCTGAAGTAGCCACAATTCTGCCACGATTCTATCTAGAAATCTTCTCATGTTACAGGTGTTCAGGACAGACTTTGTGAATGACCTTCAAATTGATCTGTACAGGGACTCCCATTGTGGGATCTCCCTCCACTCACGGAAACTACTAACCTGTGCCTTAGGAGATAAGTTTCAGGGAGTGGCCTGAGGCACACAGAGGGCGTCTCTTCCCCAGGGTGGTCACAGAGCTAGTAACTATAAGATGTGGGACATATACCCAGGGCCTTCCTAACTCTGAGCCCAGCTCTATTCACTATGTCTGGCTGTCTCTATAGAGAAAGCAAGAATAGCTCAGTCATCAATTCTACCACCAATAAGCATTCCTTTCTGACACTGATTCTTCATCTGTGATGAAGTTTTAGTCAGATATTCTCTCCACACCTTGTCAGAAGGTTCCTATTTTCATTTTTTAAAATAATATTTTATTTTTTCCCCAATTACATGTAAAAACAATTTTTAACATTCATTTTTAAAAATTCTGAGTTTCAAATTCCCTCTCTCCCTTCTCTGATAAGGTAAGCAATTTGATACAGGTTATACATGTGCAATCATGCAAAACATATTTTCATATTAGTCATATTATGAAAGAAAATAGACAAAACAAAAAAAAAACCACACCATGAAAAAAATGAAGTGAAAAATAGTATGCTTTGACCTGCATTCAGACTCCATCAGTTCTTTCTCTGGAGGCGGATGGCATTTTTCATCATGAGTCCTTTGGAATTGTTTGGAATCACTATATTGCTGAGAATATCCAAGTCATTCACAGCTGATCGTTGCAGAGTATTGCTATTACTATGTACAACGTTCTCCTCATTCTGTTCACTTTGCATCAGTTCGCGTAAGTCTTTCTAAGTTTTTATGAAAGCATCCTCCTGATCATTTCTTATGGCACAACAGTATTCCATTACAATCATATACCAAAACTTTTTCAACCATTCCCCAATTGATGGACATTCTTATAATTTCCAATTCTTTGCCACTATACAAAATGAGCTGCATAAATATTTTTGAACAGATAGGTCCTCTCCCCTCCCCCCTTTATTTTTTTTTCCAGTCAAATGACAAGGTTTATTGTAACTCCAATAGGAGTGGGCAGGGTTCCTAGTGAACCAGCCCTCCCCCCTTTATTTTAAATCTCTTTGGGATACAGACCTAGTAGTGAGTGGTATTGCTGAGTCAAAGGGTATACACAGTTTATAGCCCTTTGGGCATAGCTCCAAATTACCTCCAGAATGGCTGGGTCAGTTCACAACTCCACCAATAGTGCATTAGTGTCCCAATTTTCCTACATGCCCTCCAACATTTATCATTTTCCTTTTCTGTCATTCTAACCAATCTGATAGATGTGAGGTGGTACCTCAGAGTTGTTTTAATTTGCATTTCTCTAATCAATAGTGACTTAGAGCATTTTTTCATATGATTATAGATAGCTTTGATTTCTTCATCTGAAAAATGCTTGTTCATATCCTTTAACCATTTATCAATTAGGGAAGGATTCCTCTTTTCAAGAGAGGTTTGAGATGTTGCTTCTCATTCTCCTACTTTGTTAGGTCTTAGGACCACCCAATTCCTCACCATCTCAGAATATCATTGGCAAATACTTGCCTTCTACTGGTGTAGGTAAGGTTGGAATTCCTGGCTGAGAGTAACAGAGGTACATCTGCTGGTCCAAACTACGGAGAGCGTGGAAGGTGGGGTGTGTATGCTGCTGCACAAACATGTGCCCAGCATTTACCTGGTTGACCACAATCACTTCCACGGTGACACCATCAGGGAGCATGAGCTGCCAAGATAAGGAGAAAAACAAGAATAGATTGAAGAATGCAGGCGTTCCAGACCTCTAGCATTTAGTACTTGGGAGGCAGCAGTCCTATAGATGTATAGTCAGAATGAAGAGTCAACATCTCACTTTTTCAAACACTGAGTTTTCAATCAATTTGTCCCAGGCCTAAGTTTTTATAAGCCCTTCCAATGGATTGGGTGCCATAAGGACAAGGGAAATGGATTCAATCTCTCTTACAAAAGGTTTATCCTCCCAAAACATATTTAATGCCCTAGACAATATTTTCATTAAACAGCTCTAACCAAGAAAGAAGATCCAAGGCTCCAACTTTGCCACAACAGCAAGACCTCCCACAGTAGGCTTGCTGATGACCCAGGATGTTCTCTCCTCTCCTGGCATCCTCACTGCTGCACAAAGAGCTTGCTGCCACTTTCCCCCAAGAAAGGAGGAAAGAAAAAGTTCCATTTCAAGATCTCCCATCTGGCCCTGGAGATTTCAAGGGACTAGGATTGGGTCCTCAGAGCACAAGAAGAATTTCCTTTGGATAGGTCATTAAGCAGTTCAAGACCACCTTAAGAAGATTCTATGGTAGGTCTGGGCAGCACTTTTATTGATAGGACATGGCACCAGGAGTCCAGAAGGAAGGTATCAGGGTACGACAAGAATCAACCCTGTACAGGATGTCCCAAAGGTCTTAGCGCAGTTTTAAGCACCAAGTTTTAGTTTGGGGGCATCCTATATACCAGGTCTAGGACACCTGGTCTCTATTCTTTAAGTTCTCTTCTGTTCTCTGGGGTCTTCCCTCTCATCCCCAACCTTTTTACCTTTCTTTGTCTTTTGTCTGTCTCTTTCTCACCCTTACTGAAATCCAGGGGAAGAGGAGGACAAACTAGGAGATTGGGCTACTACTTCCTAATAGTTACCAACAGTAGGTAAAGGAATGTTGCTTTGGAATTTGACCAACACTGACAGCCAGACCACCTCCCCATCCCCCAAGGGAATTCGGAAGGTTTTGCCCCTGCACGCTGCCCATTTCTGTAGTCTACCAAGGCCCTTTCCAACTACTCAGGCCGCAGTTATTCTCTTTCATGCCTAGTTATAAAATAGTACAGGGCACCAAGTATAAATGGTACCTTCTATGAGTCTTGCACTGTCCCCCTTCAACCCACCAATGTCCCCTCTCTCTTTAAGAGACGTATTTCTAACCAACCTTTCCCCTGATATTGCTAGCAAGAATACAATAACAAACTTTCCATGCAGGCACTCTGATCCCTCCCCAAGGATGACTTTTCAGGGATACCCTCCAATCAAAATTACCTAGGCTCTGGAAAAATGACCTCAAGTATCAAGGAATGAGAACATGGGAAGCTCATTTCATTAAGAGCAAGATCAACACCAATCCAAGGTCCTCATTAAAATAAACAGGATACTGTTCCAAAAAGAAAGGAAGATCCCAGGTCTTATCTGAGATTCTGTACCTCACCACGTCCTAACAGTGTTCTGTTCTATACATCAGAGGATTTATAGAGGTTATATTGAATAGACTTATACATCAAAACATCCCCCATAATACCTATCATAATTTCTCGCAAATAGTAGTTTTAAAATATTCATTTAATGAATTAACTAAATTTCCCCTCCATTGCCTCACTAACAATGAACCTGAATGAGCATTTCTACAAAAATACATTTCTATTTAGATTTATGAAATATTCTCTTTCACTTGTAATGTTTCAAAATACATGTAAAATATACCGCAATGGGGTGGGGGGGGATAGTTTAGGATGCTCACAGGCAAGGAAATAGCCAGCTTGGCTATACACTTGGCATTCAATAATTATGAGGATAGATTTGTGGAATGACCATTAACTGAAACATCTCCTCACCCAAACCAAAACCCATGAAGACAGTTTTCATTGAGCAGTGAGTTTCATCTGTGGGCCCAAAGGCAACTAATCTCATACCCACAAAGCCCTGAAAGCCTCTTAACACTGAGATTAGGCATAGCTGGGGTGTCTGTATAGAAGCATATCTGAAGTACACTCTGGGAATTCAATTTTAGTGTGCCAACAGATAATATTGAGTAGTGCCAAGAGGTACAGACGGGGTACTCATTTTAACATATGTCAGACAGGAATCTTATGCTGGCTACTCAGGGCTGAGAAATTGAGAAAAGAATACCTACTTCTCCTATGTGTTAGGAAGAAAGATGGGATGTCCATTCCTCTTACCAAAAATGTGTAACACTCTTATTATCCGTGGGCAAGTTAAAAAAAAAAAAAAAGGAAAAGTAACATATTATTTTACTTCCTGTATACCCTGCTGAAAAGACTGGTCAAAGAAAGTAAAACGATAAGCAGAGACAACGTGTGTTATTTATAAGAGTGGCTTATGGTCTAGTAGCATCTCACATTTAAGTTTTTTTGTTTGTTTTCTTTTGTTTTTTAGAAGGTTTACAAAGAACTTATAAAGCTAAGTACAAAACAAAGGAAAGTAATCTAAGAAAAGTGTATCATGGCCCACAGAGATGTCCCATTTTTTAAATGTTTTACATTTGCTTTTACAATGCAGTCATTTCTGGATGCCTTGTTAACCCTTGCTCCTTAGGAATTGAAAGGTCTCACTCATTCTCAGAATAGACACACCTGATGGTAGTGAGTACCCTCAACTCTGTACAAGGATAGGTTTGAAAATATGGTTTTTAAAAAGATACTGTACTAAGCTAATACAATTCTGTTTTGTTTAGTTTCATATATACTATGTTTGCACAAACAAAAACAAGAACCCTGAGTCACACACAAAAAACAAAGAAGCTCAAATGTTCATTTTTTTTTTGGTTAGGCAATGGGGTTAAGTGACTTGCCCATGGTCACACAGCTAGTGAGTGTCATGTGTCTGAGGCCAGATTTGAACTCAGGTCCTCCTGACTCCAGGACCGATGCTCTATCCACTACGCCACCTAGCTGCCCCTCAAATGTTCATTATTTTAAGCTACTATATCCCATCATTGCCTTTTCCCTGGGCTTCTGTCTCCATACTGTTTTCCATCCCCTCCAATACAGATGTGAGTAGCTTAGCTAACTAAGAAACTAAGAAACTAACAGGAAGGAGCACAACCCATCTCCTGTCATTCCCTGATTGTAGAAACATTCCAAAATGGCCCATAAGTTTAGGTCTCGTCTTGGAATTGGCAGCACACAACTTGGTGGAAGGTAGATAAGAGGAAAGAGAATAAAACACAGCCCCTAGTTTACTACCTTTTATCTGTCAAGGGAACTTACCCAGGAGGTCATTGGGAGAGAAGGTAGAGTCAGCGAAGGAAGTGGAGGAGCATATATATTGGTCAGGTTCAACTCCTTAAACTTCTTACCAATTAAACTAAGTGCTTTGTCTACATGATGCTGAGACCCTGAATGGAAGGGGAAAAGGAAGGGAAAGGGAGAAAATATCCATCAAGAAACAAAGGAAAAACTCTTACCACCCATTCAGTATTCTCTTTTTAAAAGATAACAGTAATATTTTACTAATGCTTTTTGGTTTCATATCATAGTCATTTCTGAAAATATCATCCTTCTCACTTCCTTCATAATCAAACCCTCCCTAACAAAGAAGGGCATTTAAGTAAAAATGATAAAATGACCACATGAGGTTTACAACATTCTCCTCTAGTAGTCTCCTTCCTGCTAAAAGGAGAGAAGTATGTTTCATTCTCTGTTCTTTGGGCCCTTTGTTGTTGGGGTTTTTTTTCCCCAATCACTCAGAGTTCAGCTTAGTTTCCTGTTATTGTAGTCATTGTACCTATTGTTTTTCTAATTTTACTCCTTTTTCTTTGCATCAGTTCATACAAATCTTTTTTATGTTTCTCTGAACTTCTCGTATTTATCATTTCTTATATCACAATAATATTCCATAACATTTTTGTACCACAAATGTTCAACTATTTCCCAAATCAATGAGAATCTGCTTGGTTTTTCTTTTTTTGCTATCTCAAAAAGCGTGGCTATGAATAGTTTACTATAAATTGGACTTCTAACTACCTTGGAGTAGTAGAATGGCTGATTCAAAAGACTATGGAATAGCTTGGTCACTTTTCTTGCATAATTCCAAAATGTTACCCAGAATAGGTGAACCAATTCACAGCTCCTACAATGTATTACTATGCCTATCCTTCCCACAGCATCTCCAAAACTAAGTGTTCCCATTTTTGGGTCATATCTGCTGATCTGATAGGTATGAGATTAAACCTCTGGGTTATTTTAATTTCCATCTTATCTAGTGATGTGGAGGAACTATTTTCATATGGTTTACAGTTGGCAATTCTTTTGAAGATCAAGGATTATGTCTACAATGAAACAGAGAATCAAGAAGCCTTTAAAGAATAAATCTCAAGAAACATTTCAAAGGCATTATTATTAAGGGTAAAACTAATCCAAAGGCCTTTCCTTCTCAGAACCAAATGAACTCCTCAGGAGATAGCCAGATGCACACTTCAGAAATCCAAGGGAATTTCACATACCAGAAAGGTAAGAATTAAAATATCCATGTAAGGAAGGTTCTGGTAAGAAAAACATTATAAGCGATAAGCTAGAAAGGGAAAATACCTCTGAATGATCCCCTTCTCTTTTTTTTTTTTTTGAAAACTCAACAAATTTATTCAAAGATTTTGGTTCTAAGAAGGTGCATAGGCAGCTTGGCAAAATATAATCCCAGATCTATTACTTATCAGAAGTGTGACCGTAGACTCTTAACTTCTAAGCCTCTTTTTCCTGACAAGAATGGATGAGAAAGAATGACTGAAGGGGAGAATTACTTTTTTCTTCCAGGGATACCACCTGCCTTGACTACCTACCTACCTTACAAAAGGTTCTTGAGAATTAGATGAGTTGATTTACAAGCACTAAGACAAATCACATATATGCTTAGGACACATGCAAAGCCTTGGTTGCATTTTGGAAGAGAAACTAGGGCATATAGCAAAAGTATCCCACTGACCTTCTATATGGCAGATCTGGAAGTTCTGAGTATAAGGTAGTGTTGAAATGTAGATCTTGGCACCAGACGTTTGTTTCAAGAAACTCACATATCGTCCCTGCTTGCCAATTAGCCGGCCAACCAAATGCTTCATGAAAGGGTAGAAGAGATTTACATGGTAAGTGAATTCCACATCAAAACAAATATTTACCATTGTTTTAGACAAAGTAAAAGCTTATATCTCATTTCATGCCACATAAAGCGGTCCAGGCAGATAGTTTCAGATAGGTAAAAGGATAAGTTTTTAAAGAGTCAAGAGATATTAAGGGGAAAAAAATACTCCAGAGAACCATTTCCCAACCCCCCCCCCCCATTCTCAGTTATGAGAACAGGAAAACAAAAGAAGTCACAAGTTACTATCATTCACTCCAACTACACAGTGATCACACACACACCCTTCCAAGTTAAATTACTATGGCCATTTGTTTCTCATAATTAGCAGAAAGAGAGGGCTCAAATGGAAAATAAAAATCTAAGAACTAATTGTCTAATATCCTCAGGCTACTGTCACCAATTCCAAGTAGCCTGGAGCCTTCAACACATTTGTCTTTGTTTGCAAATCTGGGCACTGAAGTTAGGAATACAACACAAACTATGAAGAAGCCATACTCCAATCATCACTGAAAGGATATGACTTAAAACCAAGATTTTGATCCCCACACCAAACAGATCTTCCTTCTCCTAGAGGTGCCCTCATATTTTCCCATTTGTGTTGAGAGTGTATCCTCTGAGAGAGAAGTCTGAACAGAAGACTCAGACTAAGGGAGAAAATACACTGATGGGTAATTAAGATTGGGAAACATATTTGGTCCTAGGTATTCATTCAATTATGTGAGTATCTACTATGTACATAAGGTACTGCCATGCACTGCAGGCATTCTGGGCAGTCAAATTTCTTTGAGTCAAAGAACTGTGGTAGTGATATTTCATTTAAATGTCCCACTAAATGTCGTTCCTTCTAGTCCAGGAGCCAATTCATAGACCTTTCTCTACTTTCCTCCAGCTATGTTTTTCCATAGCACTGTAGCTTAAGGACAATTTCTCTAAGTTTCACCACTGTACTCCCAACCTCAAACGGATTAGGTGCCCTAAATGAGAAGAGACCATGGGAAGATAAGCTGCCCTCCTGTGAGGGGTTAAAGGAAGAGGTTTATTATATAACTCAATCTTATTAGGGTTTAGTGTCATTATAGAAGCATCATTCTCACTAACATCCAAGTGGTTCTAAGATTGCTTGGGACTCTACTTAATATTCTTCTCCTCTCTACTATATACTTTGAATCTAGACAACTGAACGGGTGGGGAACCTGCGACCTCGAGGTCACAGGTTCCCTACCCTTGAGTCCTAGAAAAACTGGTTTTATCCATGCCTGTTCTCTAGTCAGACCCTTCAGTAGTTTTCCAAAATAGCAAACTTTAAGGTCCATCCTCACCTTTGGCACTTCTATCTCCCAGATTGTGAGCTCAACCTTGTTGGTCTCAGTGCCTGCCTGGGAACTCGGATGACTTTCTGTCTTCCTAAGGCCACATCCACTGTCCACAGAATCCATGCTGTTCACATCTGAACCTTCGAGGGGGATGAAGTTTGTACATTACACACACAAAAAAATCACCAATAACCCATAAAGCACGTAATTAATTTTTTCTAAGACGGTACAGAGCCCCACTCACCTCCCACCCCCAACACAGCTTTCAAGTGGTGAATGCCATTTCAGTCTAGAAGGACTATAATAAACCTAAGTGCCTAAGTGGAGATAGGAATGGGGGTGTAGGTAGATCTAATTTTAGTCTGCCACCCACAGTTTTACTTGAATTATTAGGAGCACATCCAACCCGGAGGCTCTAGTTCAGAAATGTTGAAATTAAAACCAAAAATTCAGATGCCTCACTTAAAGAGGTATGGTGAAGGTGGGGGAGGGGTTCTATAGTTGAACTTGTTGGTTTGGGCAGGGCCCGTCACAATAAACCTCTTGGGCACAGAAGAACAAATTTCTCTTCTCATTATCTGGGTCTCACTTAAGCAACCCAATCAAATAGGTCTTTGTCCATTGTCTCACCACTTTCCCCAACCCAACCACTCTAAGAAGGGGAGATCACCTAACTCTTTGGTACTAGAGCCTGTGTACAACCTCCATCTTCTCAGGAAAGCTTTTCCTGAAGGTTCTGGATTCTTGAGTCCCCCCTTCCTGATTAGAGGCCTTTTCCCCTACCAGAAACAAGGAGAGAAGGAGAGAAGGGAGAGGCCAATTTTGTTTTTGGTTTATATTCTATAAGTTCTTCTGAAGTCATGCTTATCCTGCCTACAATCCTCCTGATAAAGTAGGTAACAAAACTTCTAGAAGAGACCTTAGAGATCATCTGGTCCAACTTCCTCATTTCTTGAGAGGATGAAACTCAAGCTAAGAAGCAAAAGGATTCCTCTAGTTCCAGAGAAACTAGAATTCCAACATAAAATCATTAACTACAAATCCTGGGGTTGTTTTCTGCTGCAATGATTCTATTTTAGAGCCCTACCAATTTGAGCTGCATGTAACTGAGTAAAGGCTAGCTATAAAGAAAAAAACAACCCACTTCCCATAAAGTCCAGCTTTCACGTTGTTCCTAGCTAGAAAGTGACCCAAACCATCACTAGGTTTCTACTTGCCCTCCATCTTTTCTTGAGTTACGTCCCATATGATTCCAAGGGGAGAGAATTTGAGAAGCAGAGACCACTATTTCACGCCCCTTCCAAAAGACGACAATGACCCTGTACTTTGGAGTTGCCCGACCAGCAATCTCTGCTTCACATGCTCCAACCTCCAACCCTGCGCTGTAATTCTGAAGGGATCCTGCCCCTGGGGCAGTACACATCTCCATGATGCCAGGCAGGAAGATGACAGGAGGGAATCAGGTCCATCATTCATGTACCAACAGCACCTCTAGAGCACTGCCCAGACTGAGCCCTATTTTAGCACCCTGGGTATGGGGGAGGGGGGTCTCAAGTATAAACATGATCCTGCTGTTGGATCTGTTTTCTAGCCCAATACTGAGAAACTACTGCCTCATCAGGTTTCTTGACTGTGAGAGGGCAAGTTTGTGGCAGAGGCCTCCCCTCTAAGGCGGTCAAAAAGAATCAGAATGGATTGAGGTGTATCCATCTTGGAACAACTGTCTTCTAGACACCCTCTAACTTCAGGCCAACAATTTGAGCCTCTGAAGAGAGTCTCTCCTATCTTCAAGAAGGAAGGCATTTTACCTCAATGTAAAGAAAAAGCTACCTAAGAATTCAAATTGTCCAAAAAAAGAATAAACTGCCTTGGGGCTAGATCTGGAGACCAAAGATGGATGACCACTGGTTGGGGATGTGGCAAAATAGCTTCTGGTTCAGATACAGGAAAGATTCAGTAGCTTCTGAGGTCCCTTCCTACTCAGACTGTGAGATTAAGGAAGAGTTTACTATCTAAAGTTAAAGGGAACAGTAATAAGCAAAGACCTATGAAAGAGTCCAAGATTTATCTGAAAGATAAGTTCTTTATCATACGTCAATACTGTACCCAAAGGAGTGCGATCTGGGCCATCCCCTACACTTTAGGAGCGAAGCTATCATTTTACGTCATGTGGATCAAGGATGTATGTAAACCTAAGAAATGGCTATGTGCCTTAAATCAATTAAAATGAGGATTTTGATCTCTGTTGTCATCCCATGAGATAATCTGACACATTCTGGGAGTTAGCCAATCCAGGATTGGGTACTGCTGATGAAGGAATTAGCCATTTAAAAGTTCTACATCTGGGTCCATTTTTGAGAAGCCTGAGACAGTTTTTAATCACAGGAAGCTTCCCTTGGGATGGAATTACAGCTGCCCAGTCATAGCCCAGGACTGGTTGGCTGCTGGCTACAAATCTCCACCAGATTTTCACAGTTGAATGTGTTACACGGACTAGCCTGGAAAGCCTCAATATCTTATGGCTACCAAGGGAAGTGGCCATCTGTTGGACTTTCCTCCTAATAATGGAAGAAAGCACACAAGCAAAGCCATAGAAACGTTAAAGAAAGCATTAAAACAACAACAATCTTCTCTACATTTAATCTCCAAAAGAGCAAGTATCTTCCTTTAAAGACCTCTGCTTTTGGCTTTCAATAACAAGCTTGATTTTCAGAGGTTACCCTCCACAGAGGAACACATTCAACACTGTTCCAGAGAAGGTTTCATCCATTTCACCCAACAAAATCACCTAAGAGCCCTCAGATACACCTGTATTACACAGCCTAGCTGCTAAAGATACAGTATCAGAAAGTCTCTTGGGTCATAAGAGTTGGAAGAATGAATTTAAAAAGGCACAATACACAAAACTCAAGTCATAGGTCTTTAAAAAAAAAAACCCACAAAAAAAAACCCTTAAAAAACACGTCTGTTGAGAAGCAGGGGCCAGAATAAAGGGGGACCCACTCCATTTTTGTACTCTATGTAACTTTAAAACATTCCTACCTCCAGACTGATCAGCCTCTGTCTCTGTGGTCCATCTATCTTCTGTCCCCAGGTCAGAGGACTCCCCTTTCAGCACTCCATTGCTATAGGACACAGTCCTTTCCAGCAGTGGAGGAGTAAGCAGCTTGTTGCTGGGGCTTAGGTTGGGCTCCAAGGAAGAATCTTCTAGCCCAGAAGTGACCGCAGAATCTGAACAGTTACCAGAAGAAGACACTGACTGAGCCCTCTGGCTGTCCTCTGACATGCAGGTGACACAGCTGGCATCCTCTACCCTGATGCTGGCCTCCTCAAATGACTCACTGTGGTGGATGGCTTGGGGTGGGCATGCTGCCAGGGAGATCCGCTGGGCAGAATTCTTTGGCTTGCCATCAAGGGCAGCACTGGACATGAGGCTGTTCTTCAGACAACTCACATAGGTCTTCTGCTTGTGAGCCAGGTCCTCCATCTGGGGGCCAGATGGGGGGCTGGCTACGTCCAGTTCTACTGTCTCTCCTGCTGCCATCGGTGCTTCAATCTCAGCCCTGCTGGGATCTGAAGAGTTCTGCTCCAAGACAAGTTTCTGGCTGGCTAGGGCAAAGCTCTCCTCCTCCACTGGGCCTTCAACCCAGCTCACTGAAGGTTCACAGTTGTGTTGTTTAAGGTCACCCACTGTTTTCCCTAGTATTTCTTCCTTTGCTGCTAAGATCACTTTGGAAATGATTTGCATGGCTGCCTGCTCAAAATCCTCTCTGATCTCTAGAGAGCTTCCTTTCTTCAGTTCTCCTACAAGGTGGTCCCCATCTAGGTAACCTTCTCCAGATCTGCTGCCTCTGACCTGATGAGCTAGTGCCTCTTCTTCCTGTGACAATTCTGCTTGAGTTGACTCTATGAAGCTATTCAATACTTTCCCCAGACACTCTTCTTTCTGCACTGACCTGACTCCCTGACATCTCCCCTTTTCCTTCCTTTTTTCTTCTTCCATCATGGCATCCTGTCTGGGAACTCTGGTCTTAGATTCAGAACCAAGGTCATGGGACAAGTCACCTTCTTCAGATACACTCTCTCCCATAGCTGCATCACCTGTTCCTTCTATTCCACTTGTCTCCTTTACCTTCTCCAAAGGGCCATGCTGCTCGGAAGGGACCTCCAAATGGCCTGGCCAGCCTTTCCCAGATATCTGACTAAACGGGGAATCTTGTTTTTGTAGTTCTATTGCTTCATGGGGGAACAAAGCATCCTTCAGGGGTGGAAGTGAAGATTCTTTAGGAATAGACCTCGTTTCCTCTTGAGATGCTGCTTTTTCCAATTTTCCACTGTCTTCCTTGCGTGAGCTCAGTCGGAGCTTTGTGTCTGTGGTGCCAGACAAGGTGGTAGAAGAATCTGATTTTCTTGGAACCAGATGTGGCTGTGATGGTATAGTTACAAGTTCCATGGAAGATTTGCCCATAGTTACTATCTCTTTTTCTGAAGGCCGTGAACCATCTGATGGTAAAGGCACTACTCTGGTGTAGTAGACTTCTTCCCTCAAGAGGGATTCCTCAACTGGGGTGTCTGTCCTAAGATCTTTGGCTGTGGCCCCTGCCTGCCTGTCATGACTGCTGACATGCTCTTTTTTTCGAGAGAAAAACCACCACCAGCCAATGAGTGCCAACACTCCAGGCAAGGCTAATGGGAAGACTGCACGGAACTGTATGGTCATCCTGGAGATTCTGTAGTTATACCTATAGAAAACGAGAAAGTAGCACAAGTCAGAAGAAGGTCAATTATCTAGCCAAACAAAAACTTCACAAGTTACCTACTCTGATATTTCTAGCCTCCTGCCACAGCAAAATGCAGGAGAGGAAAATTCAGTATCAGTTATTCAATGAGCACTATAAAAATGTCAGTTATTATTCATTCTTCCTGCCCAATGTACATCCCATTCAGAGACTCCTTTACAATGATGTCTTAAATCCTAATCTCATCACAACTCTGATGCCAATCTCCCCATTCAAAAATATACCTCAAATCAAATCAATGACCTGCAGAGTTCAAGATACTGTCCCTTCTGGAAATTCTGGCTATGGAAGCGACATCGTGATATAGTAAATAGAACTCTGAACATGGAGTCAGGAGAACTAGCTTCAAATCCCACATCTGATACTTACTAACTGAGGAAGCATAGGCAAGGCTTTTAACGTCAGCCTCCCTTTCCCCAGTTGTGGAATTGGGGCTACCTGGAGTTGTGAGAATCAAGGTGGTAGTGTTTTGTAAACCTTCAATCACTGCATAAACATTACTTATTATTGTCTTCCTGCTCAATGCAAGTTCCATTCAGATATTCCTCTACAACTCTAACTCACAACCAAATCTTATTACAACTGACACTAACCTCTCCATACAAAAACTTAGCTTAAATCAACACATTTATTAGCACCTGCTATATTTCAGGTAGTAGGAAAATGAAGAGAAAGATCAAACAATCCCCACCTTCAAGGGGAAGAGACTACAACATGTACAAAGAAGTTAAATACAAAAATGTCAAGAACAATGGGGGAACCCAAGGCAAGATCTTGACAGTGTTCTACGCACATGAATAAAGAATTTAAACAAAGAATACTATTATAGCCAGAAACAAGAGGAAAGGAAGGACACAAGGAAAGATACATGAGAGAAGCAGCATCTGAGCTGGAAGGAAGAGAGGGATTCTGGGAGGACGAACCATTTACAGGGTTATGCAAATTCTCAAAGAACTGGTATGTTAAGAGTTTAGGAAATAGCCAGCAACACTGGATGGTTGGAATGCAGAGTAGATTAAGGGGAGAGGCAAACTAAGGATGGTAAGGGTCCTAAGGGCCAGAGTAAAGAATTCTATTTTCTTCTAGACACAACAGGCGGCTTTTTAAGCACAGTAACATGGTCAGATCTGTGACCTAGGAGGATATTGGCAGCCATGAAGTGAATGCATTGGAGAGGAAAAGGCTAACTGTAGGGAAAACAATCCTAAGGTTCTTATAATAGTTTAAATGGGTATTGGCAAGAGACTAAAACTAACATAATGGCCAATGAATCAGAGAAGAGGGGACAGATTTGAGATATGCCATAGAAGTTAGAGGACACAACTGATGGTATATGAAGGTGAAGAGTCCAAGATGACTTTGAGGTTATGAATCTTGATGTCCGAGAGACTATTAGTGCCAGGTGGAGGGTGGGGAAAGAGAAGATATATTTGGAAAAAGAGTTAAGTTCAGTTGGGATGTTGGTGGGGACATCTAGGTATCCAGGAAATGTAGACTAGAGTTTAATAAAGATGAAGCTAGATATCTAGATTTGGGAGTCAGCTGTATAGTGATAACAGAAACCACGAGAGCCATTCATGTGGTGCTAATTGGACCCATGGGAGCTGATGAGATCACCAAAGGGGAGAAGATAGGGAGAAGACAACCTTCAGGGTTACTTACACTTATGGGTCAGGAGATATATGATGGACAGTGAAAGAGACTGAAAGGAAAAGAGTGACAGGAAGAAAACCAAGAGAAGAAAGATTACCTAGAATGGAGTAGTCAGCAATAAACTTCAGAGACCAAAGAAGACGAGGACCCACAAGAGGTAACTTGATCATTGTTTGGAAAGAGAATTTTTCTGTAGAGTGAAAGGCTAATAAACCTGAGTGTGAGAGGTTGAAAAGCAGAAAGAAAGTAGGAGCAGAGAATAGAAACTCTTCTTACGGTTTTAGCAGTGAAAAGGGACAAATATGGGTTTTTTTTGTTTGTTTTTACAAATGTAAGATCTGAGTATGTCTTTGCTTCCTTAACCAATCAACAAATGAGAACTATGTACCAGAAGTTAGGGAGAGAAATACATGGAAACACAGTCCTCGAGCTCCAAGAATTTACTTTCTTGAGGCTACTGGTTAACTTGCCAGTTTCTCTTTGTGATCATTCACTTGATTCTCTGAACTTCTCCTTAGCATTTAATGCCTACATTCCTCATATCACACTAATCGCAGGCTCAGATACACATGTTCTGTCTCCCCTATATGCTTCCTCAGGCATAGACAGCAACCTTTTTGTATTCCCCACAAGCACAAAGTCATCAGTCAGTACAGGATTCAGTACAGAATAATGGCCTGGTCCATCCTCCTTAGACAACTTTCCTCATGTCCTCTCTTCTCAAAGACCCCTAGGTAAGGTTACAGTCAATTTGATTATTCGCACTAATAGTAGAAACAAGCCCAGCCAATTCAAGATTCAAAAAACCCGGGTCTCATTTGGGTTTTAAATGCCAATCTACTTTTAAAATAAAGGTAAAATAAGTTAAGTTAAAAATAAGACCTCTCAGGGGAGACATTAAGAAAACTGGTTTCTTAGTGGTTACCTGTTCTTCAGCCTTCCAAAGAAAGGAGTTGGGAAGCATGGAGGTTAAAGACATAAATCCAAAGGTCCAAGATACACTATAATATTCATGACAGTTCTTTTGTGGTAGCAAAGCAACCAGGTGCAATAACAGTGAAGGAATGTTTCATTTGAATTTCCCTTTCTTATGAGGGAGTGTTGTCTATGGTTCTACGGGTACAGGTGTTTTTCTCTCTCCCAAGGAGCAAAAACCCTCCATTCATGTAGACTAAGCATCCATTTAGCAACTTAAAAGTCATAAAGAGCTGTTTGGGGCGCTAGGAGGTTAAGTGACTTGCCCAAGGCCACACAGCCACAATACTTCAGAGGTGGAATGTAAACCCAGGTCTTCCTAATGCCAAGGAGAGGCCCTTGTTGTCTCTATCAGAGTTTATAAAATATTACTAAAAAAAGAGGGCAAGATGATTAAGTTCTTAGACTTCTAAGGAATTCTACCCAGCTATAATTGAAAGTCAAGCTCCCAAACAAGATCTGCCTTGTGAGAAACCAAAATCTCATTAGACAAATAAGACTTATAGGTGGCATTAGCATGGTATTCCACATAACAAGTCCATCAAATATTCTCTTTTTAAAGTCATGTCTTCCACTATGCCCAAAGGGCTATAAAAATGTGCATACCCTTTGACCCAGCAATACCACTCCTAGGGTTGTATCCCAAAGAGATCATAAAAATGGGAAAAGGACCCACATGTACAAAAATATTTATAGCAGCTCTTTCTGTGGTGGCAAAGAATTCGAAATTGAGGGAGTGCCCATCAACTGGGAAATGGCTGAACAAGTTGTGGTATATGAATGTAATGGAATACTATTTTGCTATAAGAAATGATGAGCAAAGGGGGCAGCTAGGTGGGGCAGTGGATAGAGCACTGGTCCTGAAGTCAGGAGGACCTGAGTTCAAATACGGCCTCAGACAAACACTTGACACATACTAGCTGTGTGACCTGGGGCAAGTCACTTAACCCCAATTGCCTCACTACAAAAACAAAAACAAAAAAAAAAAAAAGAATTAGGCTGTTATTAAAAAAAAAGAGAGAGAAAAGAAATGATGAGCAAGCAGACTTCAGAAAAACCTGGAAAGACTGGTATGGACTGATGCTGAGTGAAGTGAGAACCAGCAGAACGTTGTACATAGTAACAGCCACACTGTTTGATGGCTAACTTTGATAGACTCAGCTCTTCTCAGCAATGCAAGGATCTAAGACATCTCCAAAAGTCTCATGATGGAAAATGTTATCCACATCCAAAGAAAGAACTATGGAGTCTGAATGCAGTTCAAAGCATACTATTTGTTCTTTTTTTTCTTCTGTTTTGTTTCATTTCTTCTTTCCTGTCACTCCTCCTATTGGTTCTAATTCTTCTTTACAACATGACTAATGTGAAAATATGTTTAATAGGAATGTATACATAAGAGCCTATATCAGATTGCACACCATCTAGGGGAGGGAGGAAGTGAAGTAAACTCAAAAGCTTGGAAGAGAATGTTGAAAACTAAAAATAAATTAATTTTTAAAATTAAAAAAAAATTTTTTTAATGTTTAAAAAAATTAATAAAGTCATGTGTCCCATCATCCAGGATCTGGCAGAAATCAAGCTGCAAACTGAGAAGTAAGGGAAAGGCAGGAACTAGGGTTATAAGGTATTTATAATCTTTGTCTGAAGGCTTGGGCAGGTTAGGTCCTCATATAGTAAAGCCACATCAAAAGTTTAGATTTCACTGGATTTGGAGAATCTTTGGGGAGAGTCTAGGTATCCTACGGTAGGAGACACAATGGAGAATGTGGAATCTCCTGGGAGGAGGGAAGAGAGCGGGAAGCGTGAAGTAAGGCAAGGAAAGGCTGACTTGCTTGACACTTAGCTGACTTGTACTAGTGAGACTCCAGAGCCCATCCTCTACTGAACCCTATTCTAAGTGCTTCAGTCTGGCAGAGGTGGCCCTAGTTCTTAAGAATTATGCCAACAGCACCCCACTTGCAAAAACAAAAATTCATTAGGTGCTTACTATGTTGTCAGGCACTGCTCTAAGCACTGGAGACACAAAGAAAACCACAACCTCCCTGCCACCCCCAAAAAAGACCCTGCCCTCAAAAAGCTCACCTTCTAACAGGGAATAACTAGGTACATACAAGATACGTAGAGTGTAAATGTTAAGTAATCTCAGAGGGAAGACACTAGAACGGGGGTGAGGGTAGGCAAGGGACAGGGAAAGACTTCCTACAGAAAGCAGGACTTGAGATGAGTCTTAAAGGAAGCCAGGAGATAGAGGTGAGAAGGGAGAGTATTCCAGGCGTAAGGGACAATCCAGTGGAAAGATATAGAGTTGTGTCCTT